ATAAGCAACTATTTTGGTTGTGTCCGCGGCATTAGTTACTTTTTCTTTCAACGGATTGGTTGTTATTCTGTCCAGTCAGCTTTGTTATAGTTGAATTTATTTGTATTGGGGGTGAGATTGAAAATACACCGGACAGGTGAATGGTCGCTATCATTATCATGTCCTACTTTAAAATTTACGACTCATCAAACGAACACCGGCACAGATCCAGGATGTTGCTGGTGTCGTATGCGTATGATGTATGTGTTGGAGTAGCATCATTTGATAATACCGTGTTTGTGTCTATGAAGTACTTATATAATGTTCTGTCTTTTGCATTTGTTGATTTACAATTAAATATTAAGTGCTTACTATTAAGGGGAATATAATTTATTTGTGGTTTCAGTGTTATATCTCTTGTGTTGATGTATATTCTGCATCTTTCTTTAATCGTGTCTGTTATGTTTTTATGCAGTTTCCATGTGTGTATTGCTATAAGGTTTTGGTATAGTTGCCTCTGCTGCTTTGGTTATACATTCAGATATTACTTGACAGTATTCATCTACGTCTCGCGAGTGCGAGGCACTTGTATGTTTTGAATTGAGATCCCCCTATCATAGTGTAGTTTTTGTTGTAATTTATTACGTTAGGTAACAATTTTGTATCCAGGTTTCTATTTGGTGAACAGTAGATTCCAGCAACTGTAATTTTGAGGTTGTTTGTAATTGTTACATCAACGACTATACACTCATTTGTGCTTTCAAAATTTATGCTGGTGATTGCCAATGTTGATTTATAAATTACAGCTATACCACGATTTGGGTCTCTTTTGTGTTTTCTATCTGCTCTTATCGTGGTACAGCCACTAAATTTTAATGACGATACATTTGTGATAAGGGTCTCAGTGATGCATATAATATCAGCATCTACCAATCTAATTTGTTATTTGATCTCGTGTTTCTTTTAAGCAAGATCGCCTTGGATATTCACATGGAAAACAGTGAGTTTATGTTTTGGTCATGAATATCTGTATTAACAGTGGGTTTATGTGTTGGTCAAGAATATCTGTATTAACACTGGGTTTATGTGTTGGTCAAGAATATCTGTATTAACAGTGAGTTCATGTTTTGGTGTTGGTCATGAATATCTGTATTAACAGTGAGTTCATGTTTTGGTGTTGGTCATGAATATCTATTAACAGTGAGTTTATGTGTTGGTCAT